GAACAAGTCAGGCTTCCAAAATGCAAGAACAGTCCCCAATATAATAATTGTGTTTGAAAACACCGAATTGTTTAGTTGTTGTTCATTAATTTCATGCAACAAATTAATACCAAATTAGCATCATATGCCCCCCCAGTAATGTGAAAAGGTTGAAAATATTTCTCAGATATCTCGTTGGAAAGGTGAGGGGTTCATTTGAATAATCATTGCTGACATGGGGGTCATGACTTATGCCTATTGCGAAATCAAACCCCACGCAGGAATCAAACTCAAACCCTTTGTGGAAATCAAACCTTACATACAAAGCAAGCACAAAAGCATATTAAAAAAAAAAAAAACCTTAACTTATGAGAAACCAATCATGTCCGACTTTTTTGAAATCATGTATATGGAAATCAGCAAATCCAAGTAAAGTCAGTGCCGGAGTTGGTGAAGTTTGGCAGAGTCGTTCCCTGAATTGGCACAAGCGTGTGGGAGAAACACAGTTAGAAACGGAAAGAAAACGACCAATGATATTGGCAACTTAGATTCGTACGTGTAATTCCTCGAATTCCACATTGATATAGAATTGTGAATGACTTTAATATATAAAGATAAAAATTAATTATAATTAAAAATTTAAATTTGAATTTGTAAAGATTTATAGACTTTAATGGTAGATTTCGGCCGGGTCGTTTTAGTACGCGCAATCTACGATTTGGAAACTTTGATTAGTCTTGTATGTTATTTTTGGCCATCCAAATGGTTGTACCTTTTCCCCAAAAACAAAACACAAAGGATGTACTTGTATCTGTCTTTTTACATCTTTTTCTTGAAATAACATGGAACAGGTTTTAGATTAGTTAATAAGACTGGTGGAAAACAAATTGATTATCCTAAAATAAAGCAAAATAGAATAAATTCATTAATCGATAATAAATTCTTACAACAATTCTATGGTATTAAATAAGTTAATAGCATATTAATTCACAAATTTTACTAAGTGAAAAAAAAAAAAGTTCAATAAAAACTACTCTTGCGATATGTTTGATGATTTGTTATCAATAAAAATTATCAAGAAATCATTTTTGAAAATAAAATTTATTTACTTTACTTTCTCAACTCCAGAGTATTACCCCCTCTATCTAACCTAAGTTAACTTAATTTTTCATTTAGAGTATTTAAATTTAATTGTCTATTTTTTTTAAGATATCATTTAATACACTTATTTATATTTTACACTTATTATAAAAAGATAATTACAACATTATTCCCTTCTTTAATAGACTTAATTTTTAATTTGTGGCATTTAAATTTAATTGTCTATTTTTTTAAGATATCATTTAATTCATTTATTTTTATTTTACCTTTATTTTAAAAAGATAACTATAATATATTAAACAAAATTATCTTTTTACAATAAATTTTTATAGAAAAATATAAAAGCAATTATTATTTTTAACGTTAGTGACGTATGAATGACTTTAATTAAGTAGTTGATATATTTAAAGTCAATGTTTATTTTTTATATGCAAATTAATTGTAACAAAACATAATTAATATACCTTAACCTGTGCCTTAGGACACATATTTTCATATTTAAATAAGAAGTCTTATTTATGTAGTGATTAATTATGAATAAATATGAATTTTTATCTATTAATTATTATATCTTTATTTTATTGGATGAAAAAATTAGATAAACTAAAATTGAAAGGATAGAATATTAAATAAGAATGAGACTAATGATAAATGAGATGAATTGTATGGGAAGAAAATTTGAGAGTAATGACATTGCATAAAGTACCTTATTTAAAATATTAAAAAATAAATCTTATATTATTTAATTATTAATTATTTTTACTTTCTTAGAACTTATTGTGATATTGTATATATTAACTTATTTAATGATATAACTTATGCCACATGATTTATCCTAAATTTTCATCTTCAATATCATTACTTTAAGAATACTTATTTGAGTAATGATTAATTAAGGATAAATATAAAATTTTATCACTCCCTCTTGTGTTCTTTAGTTGTTTGAATCCCTTAATTTTTTTTATAAATTAAATTAACAATTTTATGTAGCTAATAAATAACAATTGAAATTTTTTTTAATCTAAATGAAAATATCCATAAAGAACTACTACGTATAGAAAAAAAATTGCAATTATCATTTATTTACTATATGAAATTATTTGACTAAATTTTATCCAAAACTCAAATTATGATAATTAAATCTGATCAAAGTGAGTAATTTATTAGAAAATGCACAAAAAAAAAATGATGTTTTGGTGTTAAAATTATCAAGATATTTCATCATTATTACAAAATGGATAAAATATAAGGTAAGTCTCATTTAATTTTTATTGATTACGTGGTTGAGATTAAGTATTTTGATATTTTTAATAACAAATCGACATATTTTTCACTTTTTAAAAATTTATTATTTCACTATCATTTTATTAAAAAAAAAAATTGCTAAAGCTAATACTAAATTTGAAGTGTGGAAGCACCGTAGTGTTTGGTTAAAGTGGAGAATTACATCTCAGTGGAAAAACCTCCGATGCAAAACAATGGGCGGGACCCGGGTTTGTCTTCCATATTTCTTAATCTATTTTGCAAATGTTCTTTACTAACATAGAGAAAAGGCCAAAGTTATGCGATGCACAAAAGTCACAATGTTAGAAGAATATTTCCATGATGATCCCAAAATTGAGCTAAAGTTTGTTTGTCGCTATTAAGGAGGCTGGTTGGTTGACTTTTGAAATGACCATATTGCCCCTACACATCACCAATTATTGAAGGGTATAATTTTTCAAAGCGTGTGGGGCAGTGGGCATTGGGGGATTGACCACTACTGTAATTGTTTGCCTTTTCTCAAGAATGAGTCATCTAGATGTAGTTGATCTCCTTTGTTGTAGCCTAACCAACAATTTGTTGGATTGAATTGAAAGAATTTAATTTTTTTAAATTAAAATATTAAATTTAAATTTTATAAATAAAAGAATAGATTTTATAAGAGTTTTTTTCATAAG